CAGCAGATTTGGGCAGCTTGCTTAAGTTCCACATCTTCAGCTATGTTCTTACAACATGTTTTAAAGCATGTGAAAGAAACTCAAACATTTTGACCAAAAAGGCAATGCACATGTACATGGTGATCTATGACTAGCCACAGCACTGTACTTATCCCAAATCCCTAATCAGAAGGCAAAAAGACATTCTTTCAGGTATAGTTTTCTGTTCCATATGCTAAACAGTGCCTCAAATGGCTTCTGCTCTAGTGTCATTCCAGTAATTTACTTTTCTTCCTCATCTGAAAACGTCACCTGCCTTGACATGGGTTTTCAATAAATATGCCTTTCTCAGACAAGGCCTTTGCTAGAATCCAGAGTGCCAGTTGTTTAGTACTACCAGTATAAGTACCTCTATGTTCTAATAATATAGTGATAGTACATCACTGACCCTTGGAGCCAGCAGAATTAATGCTATGAAATCTGAGGAAATAACCATTTGCTATTCCCTATCACCCTGTTACATACCAAGCGAGAACATTAATCCATGGTAAAATGAAGTGAATGCACTTCTATATTTGTTATTAAATCCAGATGTTTTTCCATTAAGGAAAAAATAGCAGTGGGAGTGTAAATAGGCATTATTGGAAGCTGCTGCATCACAGAAGGAACTGGATGCACTACATTTGTTACTTGCTTCTGTGTGTATTTGCAGACTGTATCTTGCCCCTTTTTCACAGAAGCAGCTCTAGTTGTGCTTTGCACCATGTGGAATAATGCTTAACTTTTCTCTTAAGATGTTTCTGAAAACAGAAAACTGGTCACAAGTCTCTGTGAAAGAGCCTGTTGGTATCAAACTGCTTTCTTACACAAAGTGATTTTTAAACAACCCCTTCATTTGTGATGAAGCCATGGACTGGCCACTTTTCTTCCCCTGTCATAATCAGGGGTTTGATCATTCTTCAAGAAGTGTGCTTGTGTCTGAAAGAGCTAAACAGGGTGTTGAAAGAACTGTGTTACAGATTGTGGAGTAAATGCTATTCGGTGACCAGGTCCAAGCCTGCTCTCATTTGAGGCGCCGTATGTGCTTACTACTGTAGGGCAAGGTTTGAGTTCATCTCCAAAATTAATTCTTGATTTCAAGAGTGAGTGCTTCTGCCAGCACTGCAGACTCATGGGTCTGAAGCAAGTTTGGTATCTTACCCACCCACACTATGGCAGTCATTACCCAGGAGCTGTAGACATTGTCTCTTGAACAGCCTTAGGTTTCAGAGGTGCATATGGACACATAACACTTCTAGCTGCAGTTAGACACACATGGTGACAGCAAGAAGCAAAACTCTTCTCTGTGTCGCAGTGTACAAATATCAGAAGTGCTTTAAACTTGAACCTTCACTCCCATCTCTTTGTTCTACAGCTTTCCTATATAAATAAAAAATATCCCTGCACAAAGCGTGACTCTCCTAGGGGTTACAACAGTCAGTACAAATGAATGGTCAAAACATGGCCACAAGGCATCACATCAGGACTTTTGCCACTATTATATTCCACAAAGGAAGTTAAGGTCTTGGACAGTGCTTTGAGTCGGTGGTTAAGGCAACTCACACTGCATTCAGAGCAACAGACTGGTACAAGCACAGTCACAGTCTCAGCTGGTTGTTGCACTGATGCTTCTTCGCCTAGATTTCACATTCTCCCATTCAAGTGCACTTAACATAGTTCTTTTATAAAATGCTTCACATCATAAAAACTTTTTTAAAGCCTGATAAGGTAGTTTATTAAAAAGAACAGACACAAGTCTGTTGAGCTGACATACATTTTTCTTGACAACTTCAATAAAAGGCTCACATTCATAAAGGAAAGGACAGAGCTATGGTAGGAAAAGAAGGCAAACCACCCACACTCAGCCATTTGTAGTGTGCACCTCTTGTGAAGCTGGCAATGCCACTGAGCCTGTAACAGCAAGGATGGCAGACCACTTGCTGCTATCTGCAAAGTGACCAGAAAGGGGAAAACATCAGCAAGGCAGTCACTCCATTTCTACCAAATCCCTGCCCACCTTAACAAGAACGGATTTACACCGCCTGAGATCCTCCTCCGTAACAGGTAATCAGGGGCTGCCTAATGCAGGAGGAACATACTTTCATTTCAGTGAATCTTCCCTGGTTTTAGCACCCTATCTTCCTGTGCACAAATGCATTCTGAAGTCCCTTTTTTTCATGTACTGTGGGGGTCATGTCTTAAGAGGACCTTCCAGCTTCTTTCTTTTCCAAATTGATTGCCTGGTAGTAGGAGGAAAACATACAGACAATGATCAGAATATATAAAACGCAAGGAAACAGCTGTCAGAGGAATTAAAACTGCTTCAAATTTCCTTTTTTCTTGTTTAAAATTTACCAATCTGGTTTCTAATAGAACCTTAGTTGAAAGGAAAGACATTCATAGAAGGTATCAGGCATACATACGTGTTATCCTTTCATTCTAGTTTACATGCTGTTGCTTCTAGAAGGCAAGGTTTCTGTTTTGTTTCTCTAGGATGGATAATGAAATCTGATTAACACAATTTAGGTTCTGCTTTTCAAAAATGACACCCTTTTCAGCATCACCATGCTTGATGAAATGGAAAATTGTTCATATTAAAAGCTATTGCTTGTCAAGCTGAGATAGCTCCACACTGCAGCAGCTACCCTGGAAATTAGATGCATCTGCCATAAAAGGACTCTGTTTTAATTAAAATGTAATTATTTACTAGACTCTTAAACTGAATTCTTATCACTACAACGAACTTGTACATATACACCACTGCTTTGACAGTCTGACTGAAATATTTATGCTGACCATCCTTTCACATACATCACGCTACCTAGAGCATGATATTAAAATGCTGCCATACCTTTGAAGTGGTAACTGCTAGAGGAGATATAAAAGGTACAGATAATGCTTAAGAAAGGAAAAAGACAAAGTAGAAATACTCCAGTACCAATTAAAGATACATATTCCTATGTAATGCATCTGAATTTTCTATCAGTGAATCTGGAACAAGCAGAGTATGAAAGACCTGATTCAAAACTGCCACACTGGACTGCAGCTTTGCTCTTGAGGCTGGGCTGACATCAAAATCAGCTTTCCATCATTTTGGCTCTTTGCTGCTCCATGGTCTGTATGTGTTGTGAATGAGGATCCAAAATGTTGCTGACATTATTTCACTAACATTGAGTGTCCAAGTCTCCAGCCCAGCCTTGCTCTCCCCGCCACTGGTACCATTGATTCTTGTGGAGTCAGGAATGAGCCTTTTAGAAACACAACTGGGACACTTTGGTTCCCTAACCAGTACAGCAGCTGCATTTCCCTGCACCATTCAAATCGGTGAAGCAGCTAAAAAGAGGTGATAAAAGGCTGATTATTCTAATGTTCTTTGGGGAAAGTACTGAGTTTTATACAAGCAGGATCTACTCTCCCCTCCAACATATCTCCCCACTACAAGCATATGGATAGTACCTGCTAAACAACATGCATTTCTGGCACAAGTTAGAGTGGGTGAAGTAAACTACAGATGTTGTTTCAACCTTCAGTAACAGACTTGCAGAGGAAGAAATCTTCAGCACAGACATAGTGCTAGCAAAATACACAAGCTACTTCTTTGAGCCTGCTCCTTCTTCATCCAGCTAGGCTGCTGAATGACCACTGCTATAATTAAACATACGTCATTCTCAAAAATGAAATACAGGCAGGAATTCACCTACAATCACCAAATGCCTATACAGAGACCAGCTGCTAGTCTACAATATCATGTCTAAGGTCCAGTTTAAGAAGGAAACAATCATTTTACTAATGAAAACAATTTGTAGAGTTATTAAAGTGTATCATGAAAATAACGGCAGCTTGAAGATTATCAACATTTTAACATAGCACTGACGAACTTCACATGAAGAGGCCCATGGTGTCCAGTCAATGGAGAGATGCAGATGCTTGCATGCTTGATTTCAGAAATTTATCACCTGGCTTTCAAATTTAAGATGCTAATTTACAGCTATTGCTTGTGCAAGGTCAAACGTTATTGTCCAGGAATTCTTGATTCCAAGGGCTGTGGGAGATCAGCTGGTAATCCTTTAGAAAACCAGTAAACAGATGTGCGAGTCCTCACTACCATAACCCAGACAAGTGTCCCTGCCTTCACCAAGGACCTGGTTAGGCACAGAGACTGAGCTAGTGCTATGCTGAGGCATTTGGCAACTTTGCATCGTGGCTGCTAAGCCTGTCTCTCCTACATGAAGCGGCAGAGAACTCTGGTCTCTCAGGACACATAAATCTGATCCTCCTCCCAGACATTAAGTCAAGATTAGTAAGTAACTCTGTGCTGTGAACCAAATCCCAATCTATGCAAACGATGCTATATTCACTTCTCTTTGTAACCTGGAAGTTGAAAGCAAGGATGTTTTTCAGAGTGGACTGAAATACCATTAAAATAAAATTAACCCTAAAATACTACAGAAAAGAGAATGCCTTTTCAGTCCTACAAAGCCATCTGTGATTGTTCTGTATTTTGATGAGTAGTTAGTGGTGCAGGCTAGATCCATCCCCATGCTGATAACTCTCCAAGGGTGGAGACTAATCTTACACCCACGATTAAACAAGAATGAGGACTTATCTGCTCGATTAAACCTCTCCCTAGACGTTAATACTGGAGGCAAGGCAAAAGACTGCAGAGCACAAGAGTGACAGAGGTGATTTTTGTGCCTACCCGACCCCCTCTGCCACATAAGGTTACCTGAGAAACAGTAATTCTTTCTGAAACTGGCAACTTTTTTGCATGCTAATTCCAAATCCATAAAGAGAAGAAATGAATGGGCTTGATTTGCTCTGATATGGGTGTTCAGTGAACCTGGAAAAGGACTTCAGGCTACTCTCCTTAATACTTATGTATACCTTAATATCTAGCCTTGTCTATCTGACATATTGTGCTTATATATTTACTGTCTGTAAGGCTCCAGTATTTTCTTCTCCCTCCATGATTTTTTTTCATGTTCATTTTAATGCACCAACTAGAATAATGAAAGATGCAACCAAAAAGATAAGGAAATTTAAGATGCCAGCACTGCTCAGCCTAGTAGGTTGCAGATCTGGGTGAGAAATAAATCCTTCTTGAACAGAAAAATGGATTAAATCTGTGCATACAAAACCCAGCAATATTAAAGCAACTCTAAGACTGTCATGAGCATAAATACCTTTAAAGGGAAAGTCCTGGTGTTGTTTCTGTTCTTTCAGCACACAGCAAATGCCCTGCCTTACATTCATTCCTTCATTCTGTTCCACTGCAAAAACCTGCCCATTAAGGCCTTAAATTCCTGTCAAATCAGACCACTGGAGAACCATGCTCCGCTACAAGAGGACAAGCTAAAGCTATGTTATTGCCATCAAATGATTTAGGTCTTCAGGCTGCCTCTTTGCCTTCCCTACACTGCTTCTCAAGTCACATCTACAACCTCACCAGTCTGACAGGGAACATGGGGTGTGATGCTGCACTTGGCATTGGCCTTGCTACTCTTAAAAAGGCCTTACAGCAAGAGAGTTCAGGTAAATCTCTGCATTGAAAAGAAACTCTCCACTGTGTCCTGTGTGTTCCTCACATGCTCTCTGGTTTCCAAGCCTCCTTTGCCTCACCTTCCTGCCTGTGTGAACACTGCCAGCAGAGGCTTTCCTTGCAAAGGGACTGAAACAAAGGATTTAAAGAATAAACTGCTCTGTAGAGTTGGAAAAAAGTGTTATGTGAAGCCCATGGGTTCAAATGCATTAACTAGAGCTGTACTAATATTTCTTCAACAGCCTATAAAAAAAGAAACAGAAACAAACAAAGTCTGGCTCTAATTCCCTATTACAATGCTTATGCCTAAGTACTGTATATGCCAATATGTCACAGGCAGAGCTGAGTTTTAACTGGCATGTGTCGCAGGTCAACAGTGCCATAGCCAAAGATACAGGAACAGACTCACACAGCATCAACCTCCCTTAGAGACCAACAAAATAATAACAACAATAATAATACAACATCCCCCCCCCCCAGCTTCCTGTGCTTTGTGATCATTCTCTCTGGTGGTAGTAGTAGCAGTTGTAGTAACAGTACTTTTACATTGCTGATGAGAATTGTATGCGATCAACGAAGTGCCTGGGTCAAGAAGATGGATCCTGTCAGGGCTGATGATACGCTGAGAAACTGGTGAGCTAGATCTGCATTAATCTTCACTCCCCTGCTTTACCCCCAGCTCTGAGCCCTCCCTTCGACACCACCAAAATGGATGGTGATATGGTCAAGGTGCAGGGCTGGGGGCAGCCTGTGGGGAGGTGGAAGTGCTCATGAAGGAACACAACAGTGGGAAGAAAGGTCTGGCACTTGTTCTCAGGACAGGACTACCCACGACTGAAACAGCTTTTAAAACATGTAAGAAACCAGCCCCATTGCTCACTGCGGGTATCCAGAACACTTCTAAACACACACAGAAACGGACAGGTACTACTCAAAACTGTAACCAATGCTGATGCTGCAAAACTGCTCGTTGTTGTAGTTGTTTGGATATGGAAGTTGCAATTCGCTGTAAATAAATACGGAAAAGTGTTTTTTCTTAAATGCTTGAGATACTCTTTTTTTTCCTCCAGTCTCAGTGGTGCTTTCCTGTCACTTGCTCCTCCAGTTGTGCTGATCTTTTTACTGTACGTGTGCTCAAGTGTCTGACGCACAGTGTTCTCTCCCCACTGTAAGAGTCATCCCAGTCCCACCCTGGCCCAGCTCGTATCCCACCCCAGGCCCCGTCCCCCTGCGCTTAGATAAGCCATTCCTTCTTGCTCTCGTCGATGGTCTCTGTGAAGTTGGGGTCATTGTTCATGATGGCAGCATCGGCGCTCTCGGCTGACTCTGCCCCTTTGGCCTCGTTGGTGTGGTAGGTTCCCTTGTGGCGGAACATGTAGCGGATCAGGAACACCAAGGTGCAGAGGATGGTGAAGATCACCACTGCGATGACACCTACACAGAGGAGGAAAGAAAAGATGTCACTCACGAGAGCACCAACAGGATTTGACACGAAGAAAGGATCCCACAGCTCCTCCAAGCTGAGCTGAAGCTACCCAGGCAGTTAAACAGCACCACAGCTGCTTGGTTTCCACTACTCGAATATTGATACATAGTTCTTGCTATATGCAAAATACCACTGGAAGGAGTGTGCTAGTGACTTTTCCTTCAAAACATTAATTCCAACTTCAACATTAATACCTTCTTACAGTGGTGAGCTTTGCTGTCCATGAGGAAGAGGGTGCCAAGCGCTCCCAGAACACAGGGGTGAAATTGTGACGTCAAGGCCTGGGCAGCTCTGAGGATGGAGTCACCGATGTACCCTTTCCAGTCAATGGCCATATAGATCTATTGTAGCTCCTCAACATGTCCTTGGAAATTGGTTTGACTCACTGTTGACTCACTCCACCCACTAGGCACTGGCTCCACATAATTACAGATGTAACTGCTTTATCATCAGACTGATCCTTAATTGCTCCTTCTGCTATGATCTATTAGAGATTCAGCCCTGTTACGGAGAAGCCTCATGTATCTTACCCTCTTATGCATAGGTAACTATGTGGTAAAACAGCACTGGTTTGTTTTGCTCCTTCTCTACAGGCATGAAGGTGTTCCAGGATGAATACATTATACAATTTTCATGTTAAAAACCATCCTGTTATCAGCCAGAATTCTGTTATGTCACTTTGTTAAATGATGAGAGGGACAGCCAGGCTGTTCAGGTGGGGCCTGAATTCTTCTGAGGAATGCAATGCCTGGGCAGCAAATCAAAACTACAGCAACTGATCTGAACCTGGATATGGAAACAGACCCTTGAAGGGGCCATGGAAAAAAAGGAAGAAATTCCATTAGGCTGCATTTACTACTATACTCAGTGTTGCTTTACGTGACAAAACCCATCATCAGTATGGCATTTTATATGCATTTAGAACTGACTGAAAACTATTGGGCTGATCAAAGTTCTCCCAGGACAGCTGCGGAGCAACACTTCCATCCTATGGGACAGGGTAGAGAAAATTGCACGTGTGTATGGAATTAAGCAGGATCCACATTTCAGGAGGCAGCTGGCCAGAGTATCTTCAGTGGAATGCTAATTCAGGGTTCCAGTTCTGGTATTACTTAACATCACCTATCACACTAAATGGGAATCTCCAGCATGTAAGTTATAGCAGGACTTGGCCCATAGAAGACAAGGCAGGATTTTTGTCAAGGGTGGGGCAAATAGTGTTTGACACAGATTCATGTTGAATCTGCTGTAACTGGAAAAGCGTTCTTGCCATTTCGCATGAATTAACTACTCAGTTAACAGAAGTAACTACTGCAGAGTTGCTCCCCACATAGGTAAGTGGATTATGAATATCAATACTTTGATTTGGTTAAAGCTGAATCTGGGGGGACAAACTAAATGAGAACAAGCCATTTCACTAGGACAGTGTGCCTGAATGGGCTTAAAAGTTTCTATTTAATGTTGTTGAGGTGTAGTTTTCCCACTCTTAGCTTGAACATGTTACCAACTGCAGTTCAGCTCTCACAGTCATACTGCAAAGTATCTCAGAAAAGTATATAGGTTTCCTACCTCCAATAATGGCAGAGTTCCTGTTAACTCCATCTCCTATAGCTTGACCGTTGTATGGGAAATCAGCACTGGCTGTAAATAGGGAATTAAAGATTCATGTTGTAATAGCAGTGAAACTTCACACAGTAGTTCAGAAATACATCCAACATCCCCAGACACGATTTAAAGAAAACTGTAATCCTGAGATCTTTATCCAAAGGAGAAGAAAATAAAAAAAACCTTTCTCTGTTCTCTTTCTCTCTGACCTTCTTGCAAAAAATAAAATTACTATAAAGGAGGACTCTCAGTAAGCATTGCTGTTAATGTAGGAGGTCATTTTGTTTCTCTGCTAACACAAATTCAGTAAGCTTCTTTCGCATGAAACCAGCCAAAGCCCTTTCTTTCAAAAGCACGTGATCATACATACTGTTAGAGAGATTTTTGCCTTTGTAACTATCCATGTTATCCATGAAAGGCTTCAGAAGCTTCCAGGGTTTTGTGACCACCACTGCATACAACTGCAAGCTCTTCGAAAGAAAAACTGCCATCCCTTTTGCTGCTGCACAGCCCAAAGCAAGCGAGGAACTGCATCTGCTGTTGGTCAGAGCCATACAGCAGTTACCCAAAGGAGTACGTGCCAGCATCTTTGCTACTCTAGGAGAAAGCCCAGTGCGTCAGCTGCACCAGTGCTGGAGCTGAGGTGCAAGACTGTGAGCTGGAAGAGCTGAGACATAGCAGGCAGGGGAGCCCTCGGGAGAGGCTCCAGCAGACAGAGGAGGAGAAGAAACAGTGCTCATCTACCTAGAATGGAGTAACTCCTTAGAGCAGAGCTGGATGAAGGAATCAGTACAGGTTTGAGGTAGAATTTGGATTGTAGTCTTGGCTTTAACCTCCAGAAAACATCACAGAGACTTTTCAAAGGCAATCTCATCAATTAAACCTATCATGAGCACTTTCTTTATAGTCAGACATAGCAACTAGTCCCTGTGGTGATTAAGCAAGCCTGGGGACCTAAGTGAGTGGTTGCAGCCATTCTCTTCTTTGCCACTGGACTTTGGCATTGATTTTGAGATAGAGAAAATGTTGTTAAATGTACTTAAACTGGGGACAGTTAAATAACCAAGAATATGAATTACTTCTTAGGTCAGTAGTTAAAACCCAGCTGTGTTTTCCTTACTTGATGGATTAGGTGATAAGTAAGTCGCCATTACAGGCCAGCAGTGCATTCACTATACACCAAAACCGGCTAAGGGAACTCAACTGGCCTTCTGTTAGCATGGAGTAAAATCCATATAAGGTTCCTTTTATATCACAAAGCAGCTGCACAAAAGAATGAATGGCTTCAGCTCGCCACGTGGCCTGAAAAGAGGTTTGGGGCTAGAGTAGCCTCCTGTGTGCCTACTATGGAGGAGAGTCGAACTAGCTGTGTGTTGAGCAGCTAGCTCTTGGCTGGTCGCCTGTGGCACAAACAAGAGAGCATTTCTCAGTGCAGGAGGCCTGGCCAGCAGCTTCTGCCAGCAGCACTTGGGCCTCTGACGTTTGTTGGTGCTCTGGCTTCTGAAAACAGCATTTCTGCACCTCTCCGAAGGAAACCAGGCTAAAAAATGTGAAAGATAAATAAATACCTGATTCCGCATCAGGGAGTTTTGCTCCAAAGAAGGACCTTAATGTGCAGGACCATGAATGTTTCCTACAGAGACATTTTGGCACAGGGTCCATAATGTTATCCTTGCAGGGCGAGGATAAACCTGCCTTCCCTCAGGGAAAATTCTAAAGCCAAATTACACTATGTAGAAAAGCATCAATTTGCCAAATTGCAAGGAATTGCTCTCTGCCATTCTAACACAAAAAGGCGCCCCTTGCCACAGGAGCAGAGCCATGTAAGCGGTTAACATAAGTGATTAACAAGTTCTACCACTTGCCACTTGGTTTGGCGCTGTTTTCCTGTGTCCCCACACGAGAAAGCTTAAAATCAGCAATGGTCATAGTTCTGCCTTCCCTTTAACTGATCAGTATCTTTTATCTTGTTTTGAAAGGTTATTTGGAGGACTATGGCACTAGTGAAGTGTGAAGAAAGAGGAAAGCTGCTGTTCATGGCAGTGTGATCCTTCCCGAGCTGCCACATCACAACGGCCATGCTGCAAGGGATTCCTGGCAGATGGAAGACCACATCTTGTGATGTTCAGCAGCCACTGAGGTACACCATAGGATAATGAAAAACATGAAGCGTGGTGTGCAGCTACATCCTTCATCTTGTCTGAGAGCTGCTGCTAGGACTGGACCTGATGCCTCCATCCAGAGCTGCTTTCCATTGCATCTAGTCATCAGACACGCTCAGATGTCCATTGGATCAATAAGCAGATGTGATCCACTCTGAAACTCTCTCATCTCTGACAAAAAGGAAACAGGAATACGTGTTTGGGGGCAGAAGACAACTATTTCAACAACAGTTCACCCTCAGATTGTATGAGTTGTGCCCTGCTGCAACTGCTGGTGAACCAGGAGTGCTGCAGTGAAAATGGAGCTTAAGACATTCATGAATCTTCTTTTTAAAGCACCTGCGGCAGTGTTGGCAGATAATACCTCAATAATTCATGAATTCCTGTTCTATTACAGATGTGCTTCTGTATTGTGGGGTTTGGTTTTTTTTTTTGACTGAAAAACTGTATCTAAAATCTCAGCCAAATAGCCTTTGCTGCAGAAGCGTCTATACCAGGTTTTTACTGAATGTATTACTACAGATGGATAGAGGAGGAAGAAAAGAACCCATTAATTTCTTTTTCAGGTGGAAGTTCCCTTGAAATTCTCCTTGCCAGCAGTAGCTTCTCAAATGATGAGAAGTAGCTACCGATCAGAAGTCTCAAGAACCACAAAAGATTAACTCCTGCCACAGCAATTAGGCAAAAGAGAATGTATGAGGGCACATTCCTTGATCCTCCAAGGTAAGCTTAACAAGAGCATACTGTCACCCACAGGCACCAACTGCAGGCGTTTCGTATAGCAGTTACATATGTGCCATACTATGGTCATATTCCTTGGCAATATTAAGCAACTTTGTCAAGAAGACAACTAATGAGATTCTTTCTTCCACTGGTGCTGAAATTCAGGAACTAAATAAGGAAAGAACACGTCAGAGCAGGTTGACAAAGGGCAACAGTAATACTGATGCTCTGATAAAAGCATAGAAGACTATAGTGTTGTTCAGAGGTTGTAAAGAGTAAATCCTAAAATGACTGGCTAGATAAAATGAATAGTTTTATTAGCAACTCTCACGTCTCAAGGGAATCTAAGTCACAGTGGTATAATAACTAACTCTGATGACTATAATATGCAGATGAAGTATAGGATGAGCATGCGTGTGCTTTCAATTCTCTGTCGCAGCTGGGAACACCTCTTTCCTGTTCACATTCTTCCATTATCACTGTGACATTAACTTCACTTAGCAAGCCCTCTTGCACTGCTATGTGTACCTCAACAGCTTCAAATCATAACTTGCCCACAGTAAATAGGCACCACGGAGCTGCAGTTACTCTATGTAGTTACCCTGCAAACCCCCTCTGCGTTGTCAATGTAACATAAGGGGGGTGTGGGGACGATACTGCAGGAGTTTTGGCCTACATACTGTACTGTCTAATTGTTAGCTGAAGCCACAAATAGTGCTATTCAGTCTTCCTTCATTACCTGGGTCAAAAAGGTTGCTTTTAAACAGCTAATTCCCATCTGGTCTGGGGACAATACTGGAAAGGTTTCCTTACTTTAAAGACCTTTTTCTGAATCTTCCCTAGGCTTCTCTGGGCAGACACGGTCTTACTTGGGTGAATCAAAACGTGAAGCACAAAGAGCTTTATAATCTATCCTAGAAAACAGCTACACATTGGCCCAAGAGACATGGTGCCAGTGCCCTGAAATCCTCTGCTCATGCAGAGCCATCAGTCTGCTGTCAGGACACACCAAAGGCATTTTCCTAAAGCCTACAGCTAGCGTAGGGACAGAATGAACTGTACCAGGAAATGCTAAGCTCATCTGTGGCTTATGAACACCACTCATCTGCTTCTCTTCCAGAATCCAAGCTGGGCAATGCTGCTCTTTGCACTCTGTCTTCCCACAGCAGGCCATAGGGTTTGCTTTAAAGACCATCATCCTGAAGCCAACACACATAAAAGAGATATGCATGCTTTGCTTTCTTTTTCATGTGCCCCTGTTTATGAGGCCATACTTCCAATAACTACAGAGTAAGTCTAGAGAGTCTGAACTTGTGTTTTGCCTTTTTCAACTTTCTGTTATTAGTCTTGGGATAAATGGGGTTAAAGAAACTTTGTAGCACCTAAGAGGCTAATGAAAGACTGACTGCAGGAAAAATCCATGCTTTGGCCACTGTTTTAATGACATCTGAAATTTCATACGACCACAAAAATGTGGAAGGAGACACACCGTCACCCGGCACGCTCAGCATGGTCACTGCCACAGCAAGCTGCAATACAGCAGCTCTCACTGAATGGAAAGGGGAGATGGGGCTGGAAGAACAGCCTGTAATTAGGATTAAGTGTTAAAGATGACAGATGTGGTTGATTTAATAGAGTGAATGATAATTTTGCTTCATTAGAGTAGGTGTGCCATTTTCAGAGGGAGAGTTTTTACAATGGATCCCACATAAAAGCCTTTTGCAAATTCACAAAATTGAAATGCAGGCCAACCCTGATAAAAGTGGTCCAGAATGTGGGTGTGGGCAGAGAAATGAGCAAAAGGCTATTCAGTAAAGCCAAGGGGAAACCCAAACCCAAACCCAAGCAGGGAGCCTTCTCAGCTAGAGAGGTGTTGGAAGCAATTTCAAACTGAACCTTTTTACTGAGTGGGCAAGTCTTAGTTCAAATACACTGCACTACAAAGGAAGATACCATTAAGATCTGCTCTAAAAGAGACAGGGTGGGAGCACTCACAGTACTAAACCAAAGACTGGATGAAACCCATGAAGTGCTGGAAATTGAGTTTGTTCAACCTAAAACTAACATGTTGCAAGGCTGCTGTGACCTTTAGCCTTTACAGATGTCCACAGTTTTGACAGGTATTCTCCTATTACTAAGACCAGCTGGGTT